TGACATCTCAGATTTGGTCTTTTACTCATACTTTTATTCTAGAAATGTAGCAATGCTGAAGGTCTGTACCTGCAGGACAGAAACCTGTGGGAGCTCAGTCCAGCAGAATCAATTACATTTACGAAGATGACTGTGACAAATGACCAGGAAGGTTCTGCTGGAAGCCACTGCCTGTCAGCAGGCTTATGGTGATATTTAATTCTCAAGGCTGAATGTCTCCATCCTGCTGTGGGAAAGTCTGGTTGTCCTGAGGCCAGGCTGCAACTCCATTATAAAATCCAGGAGGGAAAAGTCTTGACTGTTTAAATTCTTTGCCATTTTCCAAGTGGGCAGGGTGGCTGGTGGAGGAGGGCTCATTGTCCTCATTTGTGGGATGTACAATGTGGGACCATGGCATGTGTCCCCTCTGCTGCACTTTGGGCATTTTCAGTGGCCAAGATGAATTTCTGTCAGCTGGCTGAGATGGGCTGGTGGGGGCTTTCTACATGACAGATATCTTTGTGTCATGAGGGGAATGCCAGCTGCCAGGCAGATCCGCAGGGACAGCCTGGGCACTTCTCCTGTGGATGGGCTGCCACTGTGCTGTGACACTGCGAGGGTGGGAGAAATGATGCTCTGGAACACCAGAGGCTGATCCCTCCTGTGACAGTAGCCCTTTGCTGCTTTTTGTTTGGGAGTGTAAAGGTTATTGTCCATCTGCAGGGCTGTGCCCATCCCTGGGGGTCACTGCCCCATGTGGGGCCAGGTTCCAGCAGGAGAACCCATCCCAGGGTCTCTCTCCTTCCCCTGGCAGGGACAAGCACCACAGTGCTCCTCTTTCTGTTCCACATTATTGCCTTTCCCACCAGCCCTTCCCAAGGCTGACCTGCCCCTGCTGGAGCATCACAAATCCCTGCAAAACCCTCAGACCAGGGGCTGTTTCATGGTGTGCTGTACAGCACGAGCCACTGCTGAGCCATGCACAGCTGAAGGTCTTCAGAACGTTCTGTTGCAGCATATTAAACTGTAAGACTGTAAAATTCAATATCATACTTTCGCCTGCAGTTCATCTTGTCCATTTAGTCTGCTAGAAAAAGGTGCAGACTGGGAGAAATAGGTGGAGCAGCATTTTTAGCCTGTTGGTAAGGCAGGAAAACATGAGCCTTTAATTTTTTTTTATACAATTTTGTAATTGTAATAACTATTTATGTGTATTTGGTTCTCTGTAGGAAGCTAATAGTAAATTCATTTTTGATGCCTATTTATTACAAAAGACTGGAGCCTTTCAACCCCCTTAGTGTGTCTGGCAACTCCTGGGAATTAATTGCATGCTGTCAGAAATGCAGATCCTGCAAATCCAGCCCCAGCCTGCAAAGAGTAGGATTATTATTTAATTGTTCAGGACTAAATGAGGCTGCTTTAAAAAATTCTACTCTTCCTGGGGGGCTTGTTTGAAGAACTGAAAGCTGAGGCAGAAGTTGGTGTGAGTTCAGTGGGGTGTGTTGCAGTGGTCCCACCTGCAGCACCCACAGTGAGAGCTGCTGAGGGAATTGTGGCTCACAGCAGGAATTGCTCTGAGTAGCTGCTGGCTCTCATGGTTCTCATGCTGCCCCTCAGCATGAGATGGGATGAATGGACACCTCTGCTGTCCTTTGAGCTGAGTTAGGGACCTGCCAGGTCCCAGCGTGTTTTGCCACCTGCCTCATCTCATAATTCTGTGCCTGAACCCACCAGGCTCCATTTAAAACCAGTGAGGAGATCTGGGCCGCTAGCAAGGCTTTTGCTGAGCCTCCCTGCTTTGCTAGTTAGAATGTCTTCTAACTTCCAGGACAAATTTACCTGAGGAAAATTTGTAACTGCTTGTTTTTGTTCCAGCTCAGTTTTGTCAAGTTTTTCTGCACTGCTATTTATCCCTTTATATACATATGCATATAGCACACAAAGTCTTATAAAATGCAATTAATACTGTGCTGTATTGTTAGAAGTGTCTGTGATTACATTCTGGGATTTTTCTCAGCTGCTTTGTGTTGGTGACTCATTGTCATTCAAGCCCAGCTGGCACAACTGGGTTCTTGGTTGTTTCTGACTGCTGAGGTTTTATAGCAAATGTATTGTTAGAGGCAGACAAGGGGAGAACCTTGTGTTTATTACTGTTGAATTCATCCCATTTTTATCACTGCAATCTGCAAGGCCATCTGATTCTTACATGAAATACCTGCCCTTCAGTCCTCTGCCAGCAGTATAATTCCGTTTTTATAACCTGTGCACTTCATCAGTACTTCTCATGCCACAGCAGTTAATGAAAGTATCAAGACAGGCAGACCCCAGGCCCCTTCCTTAAGGAACAACTCTGACAAGCTCCATCAAGTCTGACAGTGCCCCTTTCCCCTCATTTGTCTCTTTGAAGCTGTATTTTAAAACCTGTTCCCAAGCCTTTTACAGCAGGGAAATGTGACAAGCACTGCCTGCATGGTCCTCTCAATGTGCTTAACCCTTCAGTGTTTGATCTCTAACACATCTTCTGATCTCTTGAAATTTTCTGGTCTGGTTCTTCTCTCTTCTCTGCTTAGTTTTAGTATTTTTTGTCCTTTTCATGTCCTTTTAGTTCTCCAGAGTAATAAGGAGCTTGATCCCAGATAGTTTTACATTTGCTGGGGGTACAAAATCTGCAATGTTAGTCACGTTCATTTGAAAAAATGTTGGGTTTCTTCCACGTGCAGTCTCCTGAGGTTCAGAATTCACTTTCTTATCTCTTTTTTGCAGTGTATCATAAGTATTTATAAATCAGAAGTATATAATAAGAATCCATAAATCAAACAATAGCTCCAAACACAGTAGTAAGTTATGCACCATAATTTATTATAATACAAACAAGTTCCTCAAACACAATATATTGTCTACTTATGAAAATATCAATATTCACAATTTAAATAGGTGATAGGTCCCATAATTTTATATACCAGCAACTCATCTAAAAAGTATTTTGTTCCTAGCTGTGGTATTCAAGAATGCATACCTATAAGTAATTGTAAAACTGTCCATTCACAGCTTATTTTTTCTAATTGTAGATATTTGAAATATAAATTAGAGTACAAAAGACCATCTCCACAACAAAGATGGTTTTGTCTCCAGGATACTTTTCCCCTAAATAATGACACTACATGTGCTTGGTTAAGTTTTTTCTATTGGAAAATTAGGAGGTACAAATAATACAGCAAGACAATGGCTAGTTAGCAACAGTCATTGCAAGATGCTTCACAAAACCAAAAATAAGGCAAGTATTATCAACAGCAGCTCCCATATGGCAGACTAAAAAGTCAATGCTTTATTATCCAAACTGGACTCTAAGAAGGCTTTGAATGTTTGCTAACAAGATACAGCTTGATCCAAAGCCCTCCTAAAACGATGGGGATTGGAAAAACCAACCACAAAACCCACCAGCAGCCTTCCCTTTAACTTCAAAGGGCTTTGGAAGCAAGCTTTTAAAGCCCTGCATTACCAGAAGTGAAATGATCAATCCACTGTACATGAAAATTGCACCTTGTCATTCCTAAAAGGATATGGAAAATGATTGTGAGCTTTTCCAAATAAGTTACAAGAACTGAATGCGTTATTTTTCATAGGGAAAAAAATACACAGAAAGATTTTTGTTTTTAAATATGGTAATTTACAAAAATACATTATCAGGACAGAAAAAATCAGATGACACTGATAGTTTGCAGGATAAACATTATGTTACAAAAATTAATAAGTCACAGCATGTGAATGGCAGCATATGCCATGCACTTAATTGAATTTTTTAATAAATAAAAGCCCTAAACATTCACTGTTTTCTTTAAGGTTACTATTATATTAAGTAGAATAGTGAACTTCTTGTATAAATAGGTTTTTTTTTTCAATAGATACATTCTCAAAAAATGAACCACTTATCTATATAGATATTGCACTTCAGACTCATTCACATTTAACTCAGACAAGCATTCCTCATAACAAATGTAGAATAAAAATAAGTTATAAATACAGTGTTTTTCCAAAATGAAACGTACAGTACCTCTTCCATAAGGTAACTTTGGTTACTATCAACTGACAAATATCAGGGGGAGGTTTCTGAGAGAAGGGCAGGGAGGATGGCCACAAAACTGGTTTTCTGTCAAACACTATAAAGGGAGTAATAACTTTAACCTTGTCATGACCAATACAGCAAGGCTGAGCATCCCTTTTACACTTTATTATTGCAAGGGTGAAGCTTTGAGATCACAAAGATGAACAGCCAAGAGACTGAGAAGAGCCAACAGACTGAGAAGCTCCTCATTTCTCTTTGGGGACATTGAAATGAACCCACCCTTTGGTGGGTGAGGCTGAAAAGGGTCAGCTTTGCCCTCAGCCCCAATTTCCCCAGACATGCTCCTGTCCTTGCTCTGTGGGGTCCCTGGTGTGTCTCAGCAGCTCACAGAGAATTGCTGAGAAGCTCTGCCACTGGGAGGGCCCTGGGCATCCCCTCTCTGTCCTGAGTGAGCCTGGATCTCTCTGGAGAGCACCCCATCATGCTGTGCCAGGGGCCAGGTATCCCTGGCCTGGTGTCCATGGCCTGATATCCACGGCCTGATATCCACGGCCTGGTGTCCATGGCCTGGTATCCCTGGCCTGGTATCCATAGCCTGATATCTGCGGCCTGGTATCCACGGCCTGGTGTCCATGGCCTGATATCCATGGCCTGGTGTCCATGGCCTGGTGTCCCTGGCCTGGTGTCCATGGCCTGGTATCCACGGCCTGGTGTCCATGGCCTGATATCCCTGGTCTGGTATCCCTGGCCTGATATCCACAGCCTGGTATCCCTGGCCTGGTGTCCATGGCCTGGTATCCATGGCCTGGTGTCCATGGCCTGGTATCCCTGGCCTGGTGTCCATGCCCTGGTGTCCATGGCCTGATATCCACAGCCTGGTATCCATGGCCTGGTATCCATGGCCTGGGGTCCATGGCCTGGGGTCCATGGCCTGGGCTTTTGCTGCCATTCCCTTCTGGGGAAGGTGAGCTCAGCTCTGGTTGGGGTTGGCTCTTGCAGGATATGGGTACCAGGCACTGTGCAAACACCACCTCTGTGGCACAAGGATATCAGGCTCTTGTCCTCAGCAAGACTTCACTTGGCATTTCTTAGGGGATTTCACCAAAGCTGAGCCATCCATGTGTTTTAGAGAGATGTTTTCAGCCCTCTGATCCCTCCATAGCAGGACTGACTGGATCCCTCCTCAGAGCACCTCTCTGTGTTGGTTCCTGATGCACCACGAGCTCCCTGTTAGATGGAGATGGGCACAGGCACAAACACAGAGTTAGCACCAAGCTAACTCTGATCCTGAGGCTCTGCTGTGTGCACTGACCACACTGGGCTTGTGTTCACCACACACCTTCACTGCCCTCACACCACACACTCACACTGCCCTCTAGTAAGTGCCCAATGAATAAAGAGGTTGTGGCATGTGGCTCCAAGAGACCACATGCCAAGATCTGAAAGGGAAAGAAATTAAAAGAAATGCATTTTCAGCCTTTCTGTAAATTTCTTATTTTCTACACTCAGTATTGATGGGATGCTGGTTTTTGAGTGTGAAGGAAGAGAAGCTAACCTCCTCTAAATAAGTGGAATACTTAGATCAGCTTAAACTAAGGCTTCAATGTTTTTACTGCTGTTGGGTATTTAATGAGTCTCTTTCACAGTTTTTTTTTTGGTTTTTTTTTTTTTTTTTTTAACAACTAAATGGCAAATCTGCAAGAGGATGGCATCATCCATCAGGAGAAAATCTCAAGTTGGGGTTTTTACATCTTAATTCCTAAAGGCCTGAACAAGGGGGATAACTGAGAATCTGTATTGATTAAGAAGGAACCTGAAGGATTTGATCACTGCTCACAGGAGCAGCTTCAGTGAGAGCTCTGCTTTAGGCAGGACTTGGTTTCACCCTTGAAAGTCCTTAGACACCATGACTGAAATAGTTGGGGAAAGATGCTGCTTTTGTTCTTGGCTCTAGAGACATCCCTCCCTCCCTCAAGCTCCCCTGTCTCAGTCACATTCTTAAATAACAACTTAAAACACGCAAATATTGGCAGCTTGCAGGATTGCTCTCCATGCCAAGGCTGCAACAGGTACTGTATCAGTCCTCAAGCTTGTTCAAATGAGCCACAACCAGGCTTGTCACCATTTGTGTCTCACAGGCTGCCTCCTGCAAGGAGGCCTTTACAGCACAACTGTGTCTGGTGGCATTTCATGCCAGAATCGACACATCATTTTTGGCAAGTGCACACTCCAGAAATGGCACCTTCCACAGTACACAAAAGCATCTGTTTACTTTCTCAATAGCAAACTGATGGTCAAGTAAGATTTTGTTGTGTTTTAAAAGGTTGTAATTAAACACTGCTGTGGCTTTGCCCTTCTGATGACTTTGGATTGCACTGGTGTTGGGATGCAAAACGTTTGAGTGTGACAACACTAAGACTTGAACTCTGAAGCATATTCAAAATGCTATAGAAGAGATGGAGGTGTTTGCCTTCTCACTTCTGCTCCTAAAATCAAGTGCTCCTGTTTCCTCCTGACAGTCTGATATGCCCCTGGCCGCCTAGGGAAATGAAATCAAATGACCTCTCTTCAAAACAGCCATTTCAGAAAATTACATCCTGAAGATGTAACCACTTGAAAGGAACTTGCACCTGGAAACTCCAACTATTGGCCTTTTCATGGTGATATTTTTATAGGCTTCCCATTCTTATCATACTGGTAAACAAGCATTTTGATGCAGTGAGAGTTGGCTGGGGAAATCCAAGGGCTGCTCGTTATGGAAAAGTTATGGTTTGTATAGAATTGCACAGGTTGCTTCTGACACTTAAAGAAGGCTTTCAAGGTGGCAGCTGCCATTGTGCGAAATCTTTTGCTAATAAAACAGTAGAGGAAGAAATTAATTGCAGTGTTCAGCAACGCCAGCATATTGGCGATGTCCGACACAATATGGACCAGCCAGCTGTTGTTTATAGGAGACACGTAGAGGTGATACAGTATCATGATTATTCTTGGTGCCCACAGTATGGCAAAAATAGAAGTTATAGTAAACAAGATGGCTGTTGTTTTCCCCGTGGAGTACCCGCGCAGGCGGAAATTGCTCTTTCGCCGCAGCTTGTACACGATGATGGAGTTGAGGACGAAGAAGATGGAGCAGGGCACCAGGTACACAGTGAAGCAGTGCACCCAGATGAGGACGTGGTGCATGGACGTGCTGATGTAGTCCTCAATCCAGATGTTGGGCCACCAGTAGTAGGGGATGCTGGTGAGGAAGCAGGTGATGTAGACGCTGACGATGACCTTGCGGGTGCGCGCGGGGTAGGAGACCGTGTGGTACCTGAGGGGGTGGCACACGGCGATGTAGCGGTCGATGGTCAGCGGCACCGTGATCCAAATCGACGTGTGGATGGAAGAAAACTCCAAAACCTCGATTATTTTGTCCAGTACCTGAGGCATCTGTTTGTTTAAGATGAAGTCTTCCATGAGGAAGTCAACAAAGACGATGAAGAAGAGAACCAGGATGTCAGCAGCAGCTAGAGCTAGAAGGTAATTATAGGAGGACTTCTGCCTGCGAGCTACAAGCTGGGAGAGGATGATGACTGTCAAGATGTTTGCTGTGGAAAAAGAAACACAGAGTTAGGCTATTAAGATGTAACATCAGATTTTCTGAGCACTTCCTTTAAGTTGTTCAAGCACTTGGCAACATGACCACCTTAATAAAGTTCAAGAAATAAAAAGGAAAACACCCCAGTGGGGTCTCTCAGAGAAGCTGTTGCAATGACAGGAGCATGTGGCCCTGCTGTCATCTGTGGAATCCACCTCCTGAGCAGGAGGTGCTGGGACTCCTGTCTGAGCACACAAAGGGAGTGGTAGCAGGAGAAAAAAGCTCACTCACACATTTATTATTCTTTCCCACCTTGCTTTTGGCACTTTTTCATATAACAAGGGATGAATGAGAAGGGTAGTTTATATTTATATAGAATATAAACTGCCTTCGTAGTATTTGAGAGAATTGTTGGAACACTAAGGTGTAGCCAAATTTTAACTACTTCCTCTTGTTTACTAGAACTTACTGTGCAGTCTTGAATTGGAAAAAATAAAAATTCCTATTATTCCTACTATCAGTTTGGCTAGAATGAGACAGACAAGATTGTTCCCATCAGAGGCTGGCATCGCTTGGCTAGAATACTTGAAGAAGTGCTTAAAAATCAGAGATCTGGTTTACTGTACAAGTGACTGCCAAATGCTTGTAGTTGATACTTTCCCAAGTTCTGTAAATCTTCTTCTGGGCATTCAGTGCTTCAAACATTTCTGCCAGCTTTGATGGCAGAAACAAATTCCCAAAACAAATCAACAATAACTGCAAAGATTCCTTTAATCCAGAGAAAAAGGAAGTTGGTAACATAAAGGTAATGACAGTCTAGGACATGTCCTACAACTGAAAATGCTTTTTTTTTAAAAAACTGTTTTACTTGGCACTGAAAAAACTTCCTCCTTCATGAATGCCTTCAAAGCCTGCTGTCTGGGAGCAGATTTCTGCCACCAGGGAAATGAACTGCAGCACAGTGAATGATCTTGATCTAACAGCCCTCACCTATTTCTGTGTTAACTGAATGTATTAATTTTGTTCTTGGAAAAAAATACTAAACCAAACATGACAATCAACTGACTCTTTTCCTATATTAAAAAAAAAGAGAGAAAGAAGCACGATCTTTCCAATGGTTCTGTCTCAAATTGCCTTCAGGGGAATTTTCCCAATTCTGTCCTCCATTAACGTGAATGCAACTGCATTGATTTCAGCTCAGTGCAGACGTGGGAGACAAGAGGTGATACAGGCAGAACTGCTGTGTCATTTTTCACTTCCTTGCTGAGAAATGCCTCTGCTGTGCCTGCTGATGAGCCCTGGAGATGCAGTGAGTGATGTACTGTCAAGGAAATCCTCGAGCTGGAGTGTTTATCATGGCTCTGCAGCCACTGCTGGTTTTGGCCAGCCAGGCTGACTGGCTCAGCTTCACAGATATTGGATGTGACCCATGGGGTGCATCTTCTCTTTAAATCCTCTGGATTTGACTCATTCCAGCCCCAGCAGCTGGAGCCAGTGAGCAGCAGGGGGATGTCTGAAGACCCTGGTCCCTGCTGGTAACTCTGCCTGAGTGCCAGAGCAGCTCCTGCAGGGGTGCTGAAGCCATGCTGTGTGCAGGTACAGCAGCCCTGCTCCTCACACTTTCTATCTATTGCAGGGCTCCTGCTGCTTGCTTCTAACCCCACTCTGGTTTGCCACAGGAGCGGATTTATGAGCAGTCCCTTGTAGTATGTATGTATGTAGCAGTCCCTTGCCCCTCTTTGACCCTCTCTCAGGGTTCCCAGCCACAGCAGTGTGCTGAAATGTAAGTTATTTATCCAAGGCCAGCAAGCCTTGCTTGGTGAGGCAGATTAGAAAATTGATCTGACAAAGTACACACCAGATCTACCCAATTTTTTCTGCAAGGGTTACTGTGTCTTGTACTGGAAACCCTTTCTCTAGGATCACATTAGAGCTTTTTTCTTGCTGGATGATGTGAAATATAGTAACACCATTTACTTTGTGAAAACAGACACATTCTGGGGTACAGCAGAAAGTTGCCAGTATGCCAGTGTCTTAGCACAGGGTCTGTGAGTACTTTTCCTGCTGCAAACTTTAGGGAAAGTGTGGATGAGCTATGGATGCCTCAGTCCTTCATTTCCTAGCCAGTGTTAAGTTGGTCCTTGGTGTGTCCTCAAAAAGTACCTAAAGCTCAGTAAAATGGGAGGAGGGTGGGCACACCACTCTGTGACCAACTGTGTCCTTGTGCCAGTCTCTCAGTAACTCCTGAGTGTCCTCAGTGTGCTGCTCTCCTATGGGCAAAAATTACCCACTGGGGGTGAAAAGTGATAGAAGAATATTTGTGACCATATTTTAACCTTGATGACACTAATTCTTGCACTAGCATGGTAGTCTGTGATGGGAACTGTAGCAGAGATGATGATGATGATGATGGAGATATAAAAATATTTGTCTCTGCTGCAATTACATACAGCTGCTGGATAGGTCAGCACCCCTAAACTGTCCTGGATGGTACTCTGCCCATTTCTTGCAGAGTATTTTCTAGATACTAAGTGGTTAAGATCATTTGAATTTGAAAGAGATTGATCACTGTGCTGGGAGATGATTAGGGGATGACAGATGGGAATTTATGCCAGCATCACTTGCTGCAGTGCAGTAGTCTGAATTTATAAATATCTGTTTGAGAACCAGGGCTTGATTGGGGACTAGCTGGCTGAAGCCTTGAGGTGGTGCTGGCAGATTTAGCAACAAGTGTACAAAATGGCAGTCTCAATTCTTTCCCTCCAGGCACGAGGACATGAGACATTTGAGACACAGCATCCAAAGGTCTCTGATACCCAAACACCTTTGTTCCAGGCTGCCCAAAACAAGGCAACCTTCTAACTCAGCCAGGCTTCATCACAGGACACCTACATCCCTCCTTTGACATCTCTTCTGACTTTATCAGCTTCTGAGTACAAACTGCAGCACCAAAATTCACACCATTGAGGTCCTTTGTGTCTGAGAGGGATCTTCCTTTAGGAGTGGGTTTGGGTTTATTTCCCATAGCAAAGCTGTGCTGCAGAGCCTGGGCAGTCCTCTGTGCCTCAAAGCAGTGCCTGTTCCCCAGGGCACAGTTTTACCCCAGTTCTCATTTCATGGATTGCAGCCATCACTCAAACAGTGTCTAAACATGACCTTTGCAGGGGATTTAAAAGCTCCTAAATAGGCATAGTTCTGGGCTTTATTTGTGGGTTTTGTTTTGTTTTGTTTTGTTTTTTTTAAATTGAGAGCACTTTGCACGTACACAGCAGCCTGTGCAATCAAGTGGCCTTTACAGCACAAGCAGCAGCTCCCTGCATTGGGAACAAGGTGGTTCTGTAGTTCAGCAGTTCAGCTTTATAAACTGCCTACATGAGGAGCCAGGAGTGCTGCTCACTGAGCTTGATAAACATGAGGTCATGAAATATAATGGACAGCTTTTACCCAACACAGTTGTTGCTAGGATCACCACAAATTATTGTGTGATGTGTGAAACTTCTCTGCAGGCTTAGCAGTGGTCACCTGACTGGCACAGAGACAGCTTACAAATGGGAAATTTTAAGTTGCTTCAGAAAAAAATGTTAGTAACACCTCCTTCTCAGATTTAAGAACTCCAAGAATGTAAGTACAATATGCTAAAAAAAAGCTGCGGAAAAAAGGGATGTTCTGGCTTGATGGGAATAGATGATTTCCTCTAAGCTAGGAGGCAATATTCAAATGTAAACAGGTACTGCGTCCAGCAGGCAGATCTGACCATGGTTCCTGACACAGCTGCTCACCAATAGCTACCAGACTGGAGATGAGGATGGCATTCAGCCCTTATTTTGTCTGGGAGCTCTCTGGAGAAGCTGATGACAATGGGTGATTTCTGACAAAGGTGCTACATAACAGAAGTTATTAACAAAAAAACCCAAACAAGAATACTGTGGCAATGCAAATACATTATAATTACTCATGTTGGCTATAGCTGGTCGTGTGATCTTTTTAAATGACCTCTGGATGCTGTTTGCCCTTAAAGAAGAGAGGGTGGGTCCACATTTTCCTCTTACAACCAGTGTAGAGCAAACTCAGCGCTAGAGCAGATGGGGACAGACTGAACAGTGCTTCAGTTTGTTCCTCTCTTTTATTATCATATCCTGAGTTCCTTCTTAAACTGTTGTGAAGCATAAAGGGATACTTTATAGAATATAATTAGTGCAATACAAATTTTGTCTTCCCAGGGAGTTCCTGTGAGGATTGATTTTTGAAAATAAATGGATTTATTTGTTGTTCAGCTGTCTGAATGCTGTCAAACAGCACACAGCAAGGCACCCCATGAGGGAAGAGCTGTCAGCTTCTGCTATGCCTGCATCATCTCCCAGGGAATGGAGAGAGGATATATGCCAAAAAAAAAAAAAAAAAAAAAAAAAGAACATCATAAAACTATGGTAGGCATGGATGCAGGATTGCTACTGGAGATTTCACATCTTGTACGAAGGCCCTTGTGTGGTTTGTGCTTAGAAAATCCCATGTGCAGGGCCAGACCATGCCAGTTCTGAGGGCGGAAGAGAACCTGGAGGTAGAGGATGCCCAAGCTCCTACCCATGGACAGCCCAAAGTCCCTCCTGTGTGCAGGAGCCCGGGTTAGCTACTGCCAGGGGAAACCCAGCACGGCCCTGTGCTTACAAGTCACAAGTGAATGAGACAGTCACTGCCAGAGGCCACACTCTGACAATGAAATCTGGCCTCTGGGGCCATTTTTCTCACTGACAGCATTTATTAGCTGAGATGGCTCTGGGGAAGGATGCAGTGAATGAGGTACTCTGCTCTGCAGTTGGCACTAGCCCTCAGTGGGTCACAGAGGCCAGAGAAGGATTTCAGAAGCACTTCCCCACTGTTGGAGGGCACAGACACAGCACTGGCACAGAGCTGCCAGGGGCTGATACTCCCTCTGAGCCAGGCTGGAGTGCAGCAGCTTGTCTGGCTGAAAGGTGTCATTGTACTGGGCTGCTTTTGGCTCTCCCAGACCAC